TATTGAACATGCATAACAAAAAGATGATGATTTTCAGTAATTTCGGTGTTAAGAAATATATAATGAAAATATAAACAGAATTTTTTCTGTTTCTACCGTAAGTATAATTAAATGAATTAAAATGTCTATTGAGCCCTCCAATATTTCTTTTAATATTGGCATAATCATTCTTGACTGGACTTTAGCCATAGGTGTCATTTTATTGGCTCTTAATTCCAAAAAAAAAAATTATGTATTTATAAATGTATTTAAAAATAAAATATGTGTCATTAACTTACGAATTTTTTTGCAAAACTTGCTTTAAATTCGCAATTTTTACGAGCATATAGAGTATTTTCTTTTAAATTAAATTTAAGCATCTTACAACTGCTCGGAAATAAATTATACACTGAAAAAAAATATTTATTCAAATAAAAAAGTGGGATTTTTGTGAGAAACAGATAGTTAATTAATGTTCATAAATATTGTTTGAATCACTAATATTGCTTTTAAATTATATAAATATTTACGAAAAGATTCAAAGTAAAAAAAACCTATGAATTTTTCTTTATTATATTTTCTGTTTTTAATTTGCAGAAGAATGTAATGTGTTTAATATTCAATATTAAAAAAATTAGGTTATCTGAACATAGAGTCAATTTTGGCCGACTACGTCTTTTATTGGATTACGTTTTATTGATTCTATTGAAAATTCAGGCGATTATACTGTAAAAAAATATTTATAGGGTTTATAAATTAAAATGCATCAACTCGGTTCTGACAAAGTTGCATTTGATGAATTTTATTTCACTTCATTATTGATAAAATTGATTACAATTGATCCATATTGAATAGAAACATTATTAATTAATTCAATGTATAATTTAACTAACTCAAAACAAAATTCATCGTACCAGCAATAATGTTTGTTAATCCATTTTAACAAAGATTCATGATATGTTTGGTAACAATTACTTGTTCTAATTCTGAACATTTGATTTATATATTTTTGGTATAAATTGCTAATTGTACTCTATCGATCGTTCCATCGATAAAAATTTTTTTTTTCTCATGTGTCTTGAGTGTATTGCTGCATAAAGTCCAACTTTTTAAATAGTAGCAAAAAATTTTCGTTTAATGGCATGCATTGATGAATAATTTTTAATTAGTAACTTCCTCATTTTTTTATTCAATTAAATTCTTCTAGTTGAACAAATTATCATCATTAGAATTTTTTTAATAATATGTATAGTTAAAGTCTATAAATTTCAAGAGACTCTTTAAAATTTTTGACTTTATTTTGGATAAAAAATACAGTTAAAATCAAAAATTTTTTAGAAGTTTAAAATAATAATTATTTTAGAAGATATTGAAAATATTTACTCAATAATTTAATTAGATACAAAAAATGTTTTTTTTCATCTGTAATAGTGAATGTATAAGCGAAAAATTAATTTTTTTTAATTAGTACCGAAAATATCCAATAGGTGGCGCATGGTAGCAAGAAATTCTCGCTAGAAGAGAATTGACATATTTTATAAGGTCGATTCGAAAAAAAATTTATTTGTCTTACATAGTTTGTCATTTTTGTATTTATCCATCTTTTTTAAATTTTTTGCTTTAAATTTAATTTTAAATTTTAAATTTAATAAAAATGCAACGATCCAGTTAAATTGATTCTCAGGAGATAAGTTTCAGGAAAATCAACGATATTTCTTAACAGACAAGAAAGAATCGATGCAAAATTATGTTGGAAAATCTGTTTTCCTCTAATTATGGTTAACATTGCTAATAGTGAACAATTATTTTGTTAAATATAATGTGAATATGTTTTGTAAGCGTTTTTTAAGTTAAAGAAACTTTTTAAAACATTTTATTTATCAATTTGGATTACTTACTTCAGAATATTTGGGAAGCATAAGATTATTTATTTATTAATTTTCAAAATATTATAATTTCGAATTTATTTATTTCTAAATCACTTATTTATTTACGAATTTTATCAAATTGAATCAGTTAGTTTTCTAACTTTCTTCTTAAAATATTGGCGTAGAGTACACCTTTATAGTGATATCTATGGATAACACTTTTTAATAAAAATGAAAATAGAGCAAGACTTTAATTGTAGAAAAGCAGGATTTTTGTGGGTTTCATAAAATTTTGAAATTCGTCAAGAATCTTCAGAAACATATTTTTCTTCTGTTGTTTAAAATATATAAATATTTTTTCATATACGTTTAAAATTAATTCAAAATATATCAGATTAAAATTTTACGCATCAAAAATTACAATTATAACATTAATAATAACTATTTTTAAGTTTTAAGAAATATTTGAAAAAATTAGTTCGAAAAGTTTTCAACAGGTGGCGCATGGTCGCTAAAAATTCTCGCTGGTAGATACTTGACTCAGATGTTTTAACTTCAAATGAAGAACTAATTCAATTGTCTTACAAAGCTTGTCTTTTATTAAACATATATGGAAAATAATTTTTTATTATTTACAATTGTCCCGTAATAAATTATATACTGAAAGAAATACTATTCTTTTCATAAAAAATGGCAATTATTGTGTTATAAAATTAATCATGAAGAATTTTACTTCTAAACTAAAAAAATTAACATTTTTGTACAAAGTCTCTTTTGTTTTTCCTTTAAAAATTAAATTCTAAATTATAAAATTGTAAGTAAAAAAATTTTTGGTGTTTTTTTCAAGGTTCGTATTTTAAATTTAAGGAAAAAATAATGTGAACTGTATTTTGAATAAATTTACTTTGGAAATACCAAGCTTCAAGCTTTAATGCGACAAATTTGAAGACAATATTGTTAAATATTTTTTTTTTTAATATAACACACTTTATCAAGTGCTCTGAAATTATTTAAGATAAAATTATATAAAATGTGATAATTTTTATGAATAAAAAACGGAAAGTCTATTGATTAAAACGACAATAATTATAATATTTTGTAGACAATTTTCCGATGATCTGAAACATCGATTACGAGCCAGTTTCTCGACAATTTTCATTCGAACAATTTTTTGTTTCATTTATATAATTATTATCTATCGAAGAAAAAAATTCTTTTCAAATCGAATTGTGTTTTCAATTAATTATATCATTTTTTTTTATAAAAGCAGCTGTAATATATTTTGTAATAATTAATGATTCTTATCTTCAAGATCTCCAAACATTTTCTTAACATGGTAGAGGTAAAATTAGCTGATGTTTACTAAATTTTATTTGTACGCTGTTTAAGCTTTAGTATTGTGTTTTCTGAATAAATTTTAGTTCCTTTCAACAAAAGCAAAAAATTTTTTGAATCTGATCGACAATATCCTCATACTTTCTTTAGATTACATTTTTTCGGTTGAACAAATGATTAGAAGCTTTAAAAGACAAGAAATTGTTTTTTAAAATATGTAGAATTATTAAAGTCTGTAAATTTTATAATTTTTATGAAATATTGAATTTATTTCGGAAACAAAATACAGTTAAAATTGAAAATTTTTTAAAAATTAAAAAAAAATAGTTATTTTAGTAAAAATCAAAATAATTAGAAATAAAAAAATACTTCTTTTTTTCGAGATAGTAAAAGTAGAAGCAAAAACTTAATTTTTAAAATTAGTTCCAAAAATATCCGATAGGTGGCGCATTGTAGCAAGAAATTCTCACTGGAAGAGAATTGTCACATATTTTATAAGTTTTATTCAGGAAAAAATTTACATGTTTTACATAATTTGTCATTCTTATTGTAAAATTTGTAATTATTGTTTTTTGAATTTTTTTGGGAAACTCAATAACGTTAAAATTTATTTTTCAATAATATGCACAATTAAAATCTATGAATTTTAAAAAACACTAAAATTTTTAACGTTATTTATTTCGGATACAAAATACAGTTAAAAGTATTTTTGAAGATTAAAAAAATAATAATTTCAGTAGAAATTATTAATATGCACTTAATAATTTAATTAGAAATAAAAATACTTATTTTCTTCCATGATAGTAACAGTAGAAGCGAAAAAATTAATTTTTAAAAGTTAGTACTGAAAATATCCAATAGGTGGCGCATTTTAGCAATAAATTCTCGCTGGAACAGAATTGACTCATATTTTATAAGTTCTATTCAGGAAAAAATTTCTGTGTATTACAAAGTTTGTCATTTTTAATATAATTTCGGTAATTATCAATCGTTTATTAATTTTTTCGTCGAACTCGAAAACAATTTGGATAATTAATTTTAACTTATTTAGTGGTCTCGATGAATTGCTGTAATGATTGTCAACTGAAGTTAAGCCAGAGGTATTATTTTAATGTCTTTTACATAAAAAAAAAAAAATTTATAATGAATCTTTTTTTTGTAAAAAAAATTGAATAAAATTTACGTTCAGTGACATAAAGTATAATATATCATTAATTTGAGGCAAATTTTTTGCTTAAGTTACTTGAAATCGGCCATCCTTACAGGTATGTTCATTCTTTTCTGTACTTTCTTTTAATTACAAATATCTTACAACAGCTCCGAAATAAATCATACACAAAAAAATATTTCTTTTGATAAAAAGGGTAATTTTTGTGACAAAAAATTAGGTAATGTTCAACAGTATGTTTGAATAACTTTTTTAATTTTAAAATATTAAAAGCTTGTAAGAAACAATTTTAATTATGAATCTTGTGAATATTTCTCTATTATCTTTTCTATTTTAATTTGCAGAAAAAAGTAATGTGATTATGATTAATATTCAATATTAAAAAATTAGATTTTCTGATGAGCATAAATTTTGGTCGACTAAATCTTTTGGTTGTCTTTTGTCCCTTGAATTAAAAATTTGTACATATTCACTCTCGGAAATAATTTGTAATGTATATGGATCATAATTTATGACCCAGCTTGTTATATAGCCGCATTCGAAGGATTTTTTTTAATTTTATTACTGACGAAATTGATTGCAAATGATCCATTAAATAGAAGCATTTTTAATAAATAAAATACATAATTTATATGTATTTTTTTATTTTATTAATTGGCTTCAGTAATCGCCTCCTCGATTTCTGTTATGACCATTTTCAACTTGCGAAAATTATCAACTGTCAAGGATATCTCCTTCGACGTAGCCTTTATCTCGCTTTCCTGATTAGTGGTGGTTTCACAAATGTCTACGAAGATTTTTCCTCCGTAGTTTCGAATTGCTTCTTAAAGTTTATTACCCAAGCTTTAAATTGCAGTGATTTTGCTGTCAGCACATAGAATTGAATTTTCATTCTTGGGTTCGTCCATGGTAAAATTTGTTGCTCAATTAGTAAATACAAATAAAGCAACATCAAATATATAATTTAAATACCTTAAAAAAAATTAATCATACCAGCAACAACAGCTGTTAATCCATTCAATCAAGGACTCAGGATCTTATTGGTAGCAATTATTTATTCTACTTCTGCAAGCTCTCCGAACATTTCTATTACGATTCCCGGACAAACTGGTTAATTATAATCTATCGATTGTTTCATCGATAAAAATGTTTATCTTTGGCGTGAATTGTATTTGTTACTGAACGAAGTTCAACTTCTTTAAATAGAAGCAAAAAATTTTCGTTTCATTGTCCACATTAATAAATAATTCTTAATAAATATTTTCCTAATTCTTTTATTGAATTAAATTCTTTTAGTTCAACAAATGATCAATGTTAGAATTTTCTTTTAATAATATGCAGAGTTACAATCTATAAATTTTAAGGGACACTTTGAAATTTTTGAGGATATAAGTTTACAAAAATAATTATTTTAGTAGAAATTGTGAATATTAACTTAATAATTTAATTAGAAATAAAAAATACTTTTTTTCTACCGTGATAGTAGAAGTAGAAGCGAAAAAATTAATTTTTTTTAATTAGTACAAAAAATATCCGATAGGTTGCGCATTGTAGCAAGAAAATCTCGCTTAAAGAGAATTGACTTATATTTTATAAGGTCTATTCAGAAAAAAATTTATGGGTCTTATATAGTTTGTTATTTTTACTGTAATTGTTGTAATTATCCATCTTTTTTTAATTTTTTAGTGGTTCGAAGAAAATTTACTTAATGAAATTGAAAAACAGTTAATGACCTCGATAAATTCAATATCATGGTATATGTCATGGGAAAATCAACAATATTTCTTAACAAACAAGAAAACACTGATGCAAAATAACGTTGAAATGATTTTGTTTTCCCAATTGTGGTTAACGTTGCTGACAATTAATTGTGAACAAGTATTTTATTTTAATCAGTATACATGTTAGTTTTTAAAATTTCGGTCTCAGTTTCCATCTTTGAATATTAGGTAGTAAAAAATGGTAAAAATATATGAGGGTTTTTAAAATTAAATAAAATATTAAAAAAATTTTATTTATAAATTTGGGATTAATTCTTGCAAGATGTCTGAGAAATAAATAGTTTTTCTTTAATTTACAAAATATATTTTAGAATTTATTTATTCTATGATATAATCAATTTATTTAAAATCGACGTTTAATGAAATAAAAATTAGTGACTTTAATTTTAGAAAAGCGGGATTTTAATAAAATTTATAAATTCGTCAAAAATCTTCGGAAAACTCATTTTTCTTCCTCTGTTTGAAGTACATTATTATTATTTTCTAATCTACGTTTAAAATTACGAAAAATTTTAAATATTCCAAGTTTAAATTTTGTGCAAGTAAAAATTATGATCAATTTTAACATCAATGATAGCTATTTTTAAGTTTTAAGATAAATTAGAGGGAAATAGTACGAAAAGTCCCGACAGGTGGCGCATGGTCGCTTAAAATTCTCGCTGGAAGATACTTGGCTCAGATGTTTTAAGTTCAAATAAAGAAATAATTTATTTGTCTTACAAAGCTCGTCTTTTATTCAATATATATATATATATATATATAATTTATTTTTAACTGTACAACAGCCCGAAAAATAAATTAAACACTGAAAGAAATACTATTTTTTAAAAAAAAGAGATAAAAAAGTGATAAAAAATTAATGATTAACGATTTTACTTCTCAACTGAAAAAATCAAAATTTTAAATTAAAGGTAATAATAATTGTTTGTTTGAAAAAGAAATTAAATTATAAATTATCAAATTTTAAGTAAAAAAAACTTTGGATGTTCTCTTGATTGTTTTTTGTATTTTAATAATCAGGAATAATTAATTTGAAATATGAAAAAATTTAAACTTTTGTTAAAAAGTCTGCAGATGCCATCTTAAATTTGCATTGCATTATTCTCATTAAAAATATTAATTAATTCACTTTGGAAATACAAAGCTTGACGCGTTAATCTAAAAGATGAAATTGATGATAATATTGGTAACAATTATTTTTTATGAATCACAATTTATTAATTTCTTCAAAATTGTGTATGATAAATTATAAAACATGATAACTTTTATGAATAAAATACGAAAATTGAATTGATCAAAATTACAATAATATTAATAATTTCAGAATTTTTTCAATAATTCTATGAGCTATACATCGAAAACTTACGAGCTAAGCTCTCGACATTTCTTATTCGAAAGATTTTTTTTTTCTGATTGCAATTGATCCATCGAATAGAAGCATCTTTTTCAAACCGAATGGTGTTGTCAATAACTAACATTAGTTTGCTTGATTCAGCTACAATATGTGTTACAATAATTACTTCGTTCTCCAAAGATTTTCTTGATTGAAATACAATTAGCTTATTAAACAACTATTTCATTGAACTAGTTTCATTGCATAAGATTTCCACCATTTTCTGTTCAAGCGCAGTTTGAGCCCCATTAATATGTTTCAATAAATAAATTTTATTTCCTTTTAACACTAGCAAAAAATTTTCTGTTTATCTAATCCACAATATTCTTATTTTTCCATTGACTGGTTTTTTAGTGGAATAAATAATTTTAATATTTGAGAGATAAGAAATTGTTTTTTAAGACATGTAGAATTAAAGCCTATAAATTTTATGATTTTTATAAAATATTGGCTTTAGGTATTTCGGATCCAAGAAACAGTTGAAATTAAAAATTTAAAAAAATAGTAATTTTTGTAAAAATTAAAAACATTTACTTAATAATTTAATTAGATACAAAAAATACTTGTATTCTTCCGAGATAGTGAAAGTAGAAGGGAAAAATTAATTTAAAAAATTAGTACCAAAAATATCCGATATGTGGCGCATTGTAGCTAGAAATTCTCGCTTGAAGAGAATTGACTCATATTTTATAACTTCTATTCAGGAAAAAATTTATGGTTATTATAAAGTTTGTCATTTTTACTATAATTTCTATATTTATCCATCTTTTTGTTATTTTTTTGTAAAACTCGATGAAAATTTACTTGAAGATTAAATACAGTATATTGTTACAAATCATTTTTAGAATAAAACTAAGAAATTAAAATTAAATTACACATAAAACCTCGGACATTATGTATATTATGTACATATGTACATTATTCAAATTTTGTGATCTATGTAAAATTGTAAATTATAGGTAATAGTCATATTGTAATATTGCTCTATGAATGTTCTAGTAACTATATGGTCGTGGGCAATTACACCATTCTAAGTAAACTTTTGTTAACTATGTTAATTATATTTTATCTGTTGCCAATATCAATGTATTAAGTAGCCCTGTCAATGGCATTTGCTGTTGGGCCTATGTTTGAATAAATAAAATAAAAATAAAATAAAATAAAATTGAAAAAATTTAATGACCTCGATAAATTAGTATTAAAGGTATCAGTAATGGTCAACTAGATATAATATAATGGCACGATTAACGATGCGAAACATTAATTAAAGCATATTTTCTTAGCTTTGGTTAACATTATGCTAATTATCATGTCTAACCGAAGTATTTATTAAAATTTGATTGATCTGTCATCAAAATTTTCGTTGTAGTTGGCCTACTTCAAATATTAATAGTTGAAGATTATGAAATAGATTTTCCTCGGTATTATCTCGGGTACCAATTTTGATTAGGGTATTCAATTTGATTACCTTTTGATGAGCTATTACACAGGTCCCAAAGATCAAGAAGTTTTTTTATGTTAGTTAAGTGAAAAAAAATGCGCCAAATATTTTATTCACAAATTAGAATTAACTTCTGTTGATATTATATTTGCCTTGGTTTTTATTGTATTTTTGGAGTTTACTCCTTAAGAATCGATTTTCATATATAAGGCGCCTGGTATTAGAAAAATGTGAGGGGTAAAATCTACTGATGAATGACCTCGTTACGTTTTTGGTGCGCAAACTCTATTCTGTGCAAACTTTCTCTTTTTAGGCGCAAGCATTCAAACGTTCACGGAGTATGTTGCGGGTCAGCTTACGCATTAAGTATACCTAAATATGTTATTAGTTATTAGTAATAACTTATTACTATATAAAATATATAGTTATATAATATATACATATGCAGCTGCGCGCACTCCCGAGTCGAAATTTAGCGCCTCAAATTTCTGACAAACTGCGGCCTTACGGGTACATCCAAAATAGTGAAATAACATATATTTTAGCGCCTCAATAGCGCCTCAAGTTGACGCTTTTTGGCCGTTTTGCACATTTGAGGCGCTATTGAGGTGCTTAAAGCGCCTCAATAGCACCTCCAACATCTCAGTCTCGAAAGAAAATTTGACGTTTTTGAGGTGCTATTGAGGAGCAAATGAAAATGGGTAGCACCTCAATAGCGCCCGTAAGTCTCCAGCAAATAATAATAATAATAATAATAATAATAATAATAATAATATTAATAGTAATTTTGTTATTAGTAAAATGATAAAAAAACAATTTTCAAATTTTTTTTTTTTATTTATATTATTTTTAATGTCGAGCTATCACATGTTTAGACCGGTTATCTTTTTATTTAGACCTAACTTTTGCTAACTATAGAAATAAAGTGAAAATCGCATTCGTTTTAACCGAGACTCGAACCCGAGATGCACGCTTGCCAGACCAATAACTAACCCCTACACCGCACGACCGATAAGTTAAGACTCATCTCATCCTTCTTATAAGCTAAATCTGTGCAGTGACGAAGTGTGACGGTTCATTATTTATATAATTTATGTTATTCAATAAATATTAACTATTTTTTTCAAATGTTCATTAATTAAAAAAATGCAAAAGTTAAGTTCCTATATTACTTTAGACTTTGTACATCGTTCTGTACATTTTTAATATTTTATTATAAATTTTAAAGTTCAAAATTTTTTCTTAAAGTAAAAATTTCTTTTGCACTTAAAAAAAATAATAGAGTTTTTATTATACGCCCTTATGGCATCCGAGGCGGGTCCCGGAAGCCATCGGGGCGTATAAAATTTTTAACATATTTTTTAATAAATTGCAATTTTATAATATTAAAGTAACAATTCCTCGAGTTAAAAAAATTGACATCAGTGAATTTAACTGCTTTACTTAAACAATTGATTTACAAATATTGAAATTATATTAACTTTTCAGCATAATATGCGCCCGGCGCGCTTTTTAAAATTACAGTTAAAACGTAAGCTAGTCGGCTGTATAGAGATTGATAACGCATGTGTGGCATTGTCCTGGGCTGTATAAAGTTCTATACAGCCTAGTAGATACTGGCGCGTACGCGTATTATTTACAGATTGAGTATCGTCTGCACGTAAAAACCCCCATACGTCCGTCTAGGAGGAAAAATAATAATTATCTTAGCTTGCCTGTAAATAACAAAGAATTTGAATAATAAATAAATTCACTGATATAAGAAAACCATTTAATTTATTTATTAATTTTTTTTATTTATATCAATGAAACTTGGAAAATTATCCAAGCTTTGCTCAGTTTCGAAAAATATTGAGGTTCTCGAGCATCTATTGAGGCGCTAGAGACGTTTAAGGCACTATTGAGGCACTAAAAAGCGAATAGCGCCTCCATTTTGGGCATTAGAGTCTCAAATGAGGAGCTCGACGCGCTGTTGAGGCATTAAAAATGACAGTTCCGAAAAAAAACAAAAGAAATAAAGCCTTTGAGGTGCTATTGAGGCGCTAAATTTCGACTCGGGTTAATTCAAATAGGTATTCAAGTTTATAGTTGAATCGAAAATTGTAAATTCGGCCGTTTCTAACGTCTAAATGTTGAAAATCTAAAATTATGCCCTTTGTCAAATTTACTAAACCTAAAAAAAAGACTGCTAAAGTGGGCAAAAAGAATATAACGCCAAGTGTAAATTCGGAGCGTAAAGTAAAAAACGACAAAGAAAAAATCCGCGAATTTTCGAAAAAGAACATCTAAAAAGGCAGTCACTTAAAAATAAACAATTCAAATAAAATGCTGCATTAATAAAATAATGCCAATCTGACATAAGCTAATTTATGAAAATGATTCTAAAGAATAATTCAAAGTAACAAATAAACAAAAAAAAAAAATATTGAAATTTGAAAAGATTGTTATTTCTCAAACAATATTATTTTAATTATTGAATTTCCGTAAAATTAAAAATCGTAAATGTTGCCGTTTTAGAATCTAGAAAAGCAATTTTAGCTGATACTTAGCCTAGCATTACGTAAAATTAGCCGATTCAAAATTTTCAAATAATTAAAAATTCCGATTCAAATAATCATTTGTCGTGTTCGACTTACAAAACCCGTGCAAAAAAATTTAAGATTCATTATGAACTTAATTCCGATTTTCATAATGAAATTTAAAATTAGATACAAATCTGAATTTATTCCGAAATCAATTCAACTTAAGGATAGCGTAAAATAGTTTTGAGGAAAAACAGTATGATTATAATTTTGAAATTCCAATATGAATTAATAATGGATTAGATGTAAATAAAAGAATTCACATCAAGATGTAACTAAATTTAGATACTGCAGTGAATGAATTTTAATTTCACTCTAATATCACACGAGTAATTATTATTACAAATTCTACGTTTTCATAATATTAATATGGATTCATAATAAATTTATAAAAAAATCGAAATAACATTATAATAAGTTATTTTAGAAAATGAGTTAATTTGAATTTAAATTGAGAGCTTAAATTTTAAAAAAATTATATTTAGGTGATTAGAACAATAGTCCATGTATCATTGAGAATAAAAAAAAAAATAGTTCCAAGTATCCCGTGTAAATAATCAAAAAATACTTTTAAGGGATTCTTCAAAATTCTTAAACTCGTAATAACTAACATAATTTTTTTTTTAAACGAATCAATCTTTTTTTTCTTTTTCCTTAGCCTTAAATTTCCCACGAATAATGCAACACATATACTACCGACAATATTTTGAAATTCATCTACATTTACTTCATGGCCTTTGCTCACGTTCGCATTAACATATTCTGAAATAAACAAAAAAATTAGTTAATTGATTATTCTATCAATCAATAAATTGAACTTAAAAAAATTTTTGCATTTAAAATGAAATAACTTCCTGATTTTTAGAAAATAATTGATTTTCATAGCGAGAAGTTAAGAAAAAATTGACAGTTGTTTAATTGAAAAAAATATTTCAATGTTCATTTTAATAATTACGGAAAATTGCTTCGGAAATATCTTCGGGAATTAATTCCCTGCCTTCCTTTTGCTTCAGGGGAACCATCCGCGAAAGTTTCTCTTCTCCGAGTACCAGCCTGAATAAGTCTCGTATCATTTGACCTGCCTTTTTAGTGTTGCATTTAGTAATCATTAGCAACCGATATTCACTAACCATGATATTCGATCCCTCCATTAACTCGACCTATATGAAAAAAAAAATATTATTTACAGTTCAGTACGGTGTGACAAAATTATATACTTATATGATTAATTTTATGTTATCAATACCTCCTTCTTTGTATTTACTATTTTTTTTTTGTTTTGTATGCCCAGACGACTTCACTAGTTGTCGTTCATTACTGCGTTTAGATTGCAAAAATTGTTTAAAGAGTTTCAAATCTAGAATATAAATGAAACAACCATTAACTTCATGTTATGTGTATTTTAAAAATCGGGACATTAATAAATATATATAGATATATAGATATATCATTATTACCCTCCATGGACACTTCATCATCATTTGAGTCATCAACTATTTTAGAGGATTCTGTACAAGTGAATGATAAGAGATTATAAGTAAATGATCGATCATTATCTTTAAAAATAAATTCTACTAAGTAACAATAAAAATATCAAAGAGGTCACAAACAAATTTTAAAGTGGTGAATCCAGCTTAAGTACTATTAATTGTGTAACGGAGTACACGGGGCCTTCTTTACCCAGAGAAGGTTTCCGATCCGCGTGAGTTAGTTATCGACTGATTCCCCAGAGCGCTGTGCTCCGAAGTACTCGCGCCTCTAGCTGTAAGTTAGTGAGTAAGTCCCTAAGAGGGAAGCGCCGGCGCGGAGAGTAAGTGGGGAAGACGGAGTGAAGAAAGAAACGCACCGACAAAGCCCAGAAGAGTCATTGTGACCGAGTCGCCAAACCGCACGAACACGCAAATTTGGTTAAACACCATCGAGCAGGTAATTATCTCTTTGTCGCCTTTCGTACAGTGGAACAAAACGATCAAATCTATTAATTTATTGCTTGCTAGGCCTTCAGCCGGCTTGCGTAAATTGATTTTAAATTGTAACAATTTCTAATGCTTGATTGCGGTTTCAGATTTATAAAATATTCGGAGAAACGAGTGACGGTGACCGGGGTCTCGCTGCCAAGCAGAGTTTTCCACCGAGGAGGAATTTGTACCAGTGCAGACGTGAAGGAGTTGCTGCTCTTCGAGAGAGTTCACTAGCGTCATAAAGAGAAAAACTCCAGGTATAAATAAAATGTCTCAATAATCTCTCGGTGGTGCGGCATCAGCCAGGCATTGAAGTCGGCTGAAGGTCACCGCCATTTCGCGTTCGGTCACAATCATTAGTTTCAGAATTACCTCGTAGAATTTACTTAATTATTATACGGAAATTTATTCATTAGAATTTACTCGGAATATTATTTGGGATATTATTTAAAATATTATTTAGAGAATGTTTGAGAATTTATTAAAAATAAGATGCAGAGTTTATTTAAGAATTTAATTAAGAGAAAAGTCCAGAATAAAATTTAGAATAAAGTTAAAAGCGAGTCAGGAATAATTACTAAATAATTAATTAACAAAACCAGGAATTATTTCGGATTGTTAATTCACTACGTAGGCAGAGCTTGGATTGACTTTACCGGGAATAATTTCGGTTAGTCAATTTATGATTTGATGCCATGTAAAACAAATTGTCGTTGATAATCGAGTTTGGTTAAATTCATTTAGTTAAATGCATAAAGTAAATTCATTAAAATATTTTAGAGGAGTTTTAGTAAAATCATTTGAAGTAAAATTTATTAAATTCGGAAAATAATTCAGAATAAAATTTAATTGTTTAAATAAAATCATGAGTAGTAAAATTTAGAATCAGTTAAAATCAATAATATTGTTTAGGTGAATTTATTAATTAAAAGTAGAGAATGAAACTTGCAAAAATTTGTTTGAAAAAAAAAATACCGAAAATGTGCGACAAAGACGTCAGACCGAGCGAGAGCGTCAGCTATCTTGTCCCGCACGAAGCGCTGAGTAGAGGACACACAAGGTCGAGACTAAAATCGTGCTGTGTTGCTAGGCAGAATATAATCCTCTGTTAAAATAAAATAAAATAAATGCTAAGTTTTTCGTGCAACACAATAGACGGTAAAATAAAATAATTAAATGTAGAGAAAATAAGACTCGATTATTCAAGGACAAGCCCAACAGTTTAGTAAAAATAAATTACATGAAATTAATTGATAAAATTTTAGTCATTGAAAGTTAAGTTCTTAATTAAGTAAAATAATCTGGACAAGATTCTAAATATTTGGAAAACAACTAAATAAATAATTTAATAGATTCTGGTAAAATGAATTTAGATAATCTAGAGAAAAAAAACTGATAAATTCTGGTAGAATAAATCCGAACAAAAACAGTTTCACTATAAAAAATTGCGCCAAGTCCACGTTCATAACACTCATCTCAATAACATTTGCACTTTACAAAAAAAATTAGACTCGTTTCAATAATTTTCATTCTTTACAAAAAGATGTGAAATACAAAAAAATATCAAGAAACCGCCATAATGTTGAAAAAATTGAAAAAAATTTGTTGAAAATTAAAGAATAAAAAAAAATTTTTATCGTACTTGGTGCGCGTCATTGAGTACCCCAAATTTTTTCGGAAGAATTTCAACCCAAGAAAAAACTTGTATGTATATAATCATATTATATATTTTTATAGATTTTCATTAGTCAAGGATACTGAACTCATTGAAAACATTGCTTAGTGTATTAATTATCAGTTTTAGTGAAAAAAATCGTTTTTAAAATTTTTTTTAGCTCTTTAGTGAAAACAAAACTGTCAATGTGGTGGTGTGTTCAAGAAATCTGAAATTATATAAAATTTTTGGATTCATTTTTTTTCAGCTTCGTCATTAATCTTCAATGAAAAACCTTATGCAATATTAAAGCTTGATATTGCTTCGTTTGATTGTAATTAACACATTTTGATTGGTACTCACACCGCATTTGCCCAATTTAATTGGCCATATGTTTTATTTTTTAGTAAACACAATTCTCACAATGCAACCGACCCAACGTATGCATGCGTATCGACATGTAAGTAGTTTCCATAACTGCGTATGACATGTCGATTTTACCTAACTTTTGTAAAACTTATTATGAAATAACATAGGTTGACTTACTTATAAATTTCTCAACATTAAAAGGATGTTTACCCAACATTTATCTTACAAAAATTTGGAGTACTCAATGACGCGCGCCAAGTACGATAAAAATTTTTTTTTTATTTTTTAATTTTCAACAAATTTTTTTTCAATTTTTTCAACATTATGACGGTTTCTTGGTATTTTTTTGTATTTCACATCTTTTTGTAAAGAATGAAAATTATTGAAACGAGTCTAATTTTTTTTGTAAAGTGCAAATGTTATTGAGATGAGTGTTATGAACGTGGACTTGGCGCAATTTTTTATAGTGAAACTGTTTTTGTTCGGATTTCACATCTTTTTGTAAACAATACATTTTATTATAATTATCATTCTGGCTATAACTTTGGTGCAATTGCACGTCGCACACGTCCGAGTATGTTATGTATGACTTTTGGTTTTTGCACGACTCATGATGCGAAGCATCAGAGAGTGCTTTACGGTCGAAAAATTTTTTTCGCCCCATTTTGGCAGCTATTTTTATTATTATAGCCTTTTTAGTTCACGGAATCAAGATATTTTGCATACTATTGTCGAGATAATTTAATGGAGATTAATTCCATACTTTTAAAAAATTGATTTACTGCAATAGAATCGGAAAAAAACACCAAAATAGGTCAAAAAATTTTCCTTTGCGTCATGTGTGAAACCCCGGAAACACTGTAACTTGTGAAAAAATCCATTATTTGAGTTAAATTTTTTTTTTTAAATTCTAATCGACGATTGTATATGGTACGCCGTTTTACTATTTAATAGAAGGAAAAAAATGATCTTAAAATTAATAACTAAAAAGAAAAATGCATATTTTATGTTAACACATAATCAAAATATAATAGATTAATTTTATGTTTATACTTAAATTTTTTAAGGAATAATTATTATGTAGGGACGAATTAAAATTCTGAGTTGAGCTGATGATGAAAAGAATATTTTTATTATGTGTCATGATAATTAAAAATAAGATTTTAATAATTATGTGAGGACATAATTTTAACTAACAATTTTTTTTATGTAGTGACATAAATTATTTATAACATTTCAATTTCTTTTAATCTAAAATTTAATACAAATAAGAATTAAAATTATCCACATAATAGAAATTCTGAATTAAGATTATGTACATAATAATAATTCAGAATTAATATTATGTACATAATAAAAATGTTACAATTAAAATTATGTACATAATGGAAATGTTTAAGTAAATAACACAATTAGTAAACTTATAAATAATATTCGTATTATGTAAGAAATATCATCGTTTCAAATTTCGCTCAATTAACAAGTAGTGCCACCTACAGGCTACAATTATCAAGACGTAGTATCTGTCTACATTGCCCGAACAGAATTACTCAGATCTTGATGGGCTGACTTTTCCGAAGAAACCAAAATCAAACAATTCTAGCTCTTTTAGGGCCAGTTTTTCAAATCAAGATAAAATTTTATCCAGGATAAAATTATTATTGCCAGTATATTTATGTATATGGAATATATAGATATATTTTATCATTAGATAAAATTTTATCCTGGATTGAAAAACTGGCCCTTAAATATTGACTCTAGTTAATAAATGCTACTGAATGAAAAGAAAATATATTTAGAAAAATACAGATGGAAAGTTATTTAAGAATTAATTCCAGGGATTTTATATTAAAAAAAAATATTTTAACATTTTTTGTTTTTAAAAAAGTTTTTAATTCAAAGTTTGTATTTTTCCCGCGGAAATTGAATGTTTATA